TCCCTTGCTCTCAGCAGCCAGCCCCAAATGCACACACCAGATTGCACTTGCCCCCAACTTACTGCGGTAGGTCTTGGGGACGTGGGCGACTGCCATGCAACCGAACACCCTCAGCATGTCCACCGGCGGCTTCCTCCCAAGCCACCTCTCCAAAGGCACCCACGAGTCATCCCCAACCTTGGTGAGCACCCTGTTCCTAGCGACGGTGGCGTGCCGGACAGCATGGGGCCACATCGAGTTGCTCAGCCCTGATTCTATGAGCAGCGCCCTAGCTGTCTCCAGAATTGTCCGGTTCGCCCGTTCTGCTACACTGTTCGACTGTGGGGTGTAAGCCGTGGTCAGCTCCCTCTGGATGCCCTGCTTCTTGAGCCAGGCCGTCATCTCAGCTCCAAGGAACTCACCACCCCGGTCTGTCCTAATCCGCTTCACCACACATTCCGCTTGCTTCTCCACGAACGGCAGCCAATCGTCCCGAATCGTGGAGGCGGCGTGATCTTTCTGCTTCAGCGGATACGCCCACATGAGTCTGCTCCAATCATCCACTATGGTCAGAAAGTACCGCTCCCCCTTGTGCCCCTGAACCGGCAGCGGCCCCACCAAGTCCATGTGGACCAGCTCCAAAGGCTTCTTGCTCCTGCCAGCCACACTATGGAAGGGAAAACGGGTAAACTTTGAGAGCAAACAGATTTCACAGTTATCATCGGGTGGCTGTCCGTTCAGCTTCAGACCCTTAACGGCTCCATCCTTCTCCAGCTGCTTCAGCAAGGGCATTGCCACATGCCCCAAGCGTCGATGTGCCGTTGCCCAATCTGTCTCCCCAGATCTGGCCGACACTTTCACACCTACCCCTCCAACGGCGTTGCACTCCCCCTGGGATGCAGACCCCTCTCCAGCCTGCCTCCCGCCGTGCCACGCCAACGCCGGCAGCTGCCACATAGATCTGTACACGTCTTTGCTCTCGTGCAGATCCCAAAGCACCCGGTTTCCTAGCTGCCCCTTGTACGTGCGAGCCCCATCCGTGCTAGTGCTCACCCCAGCCTTGGCAAGCTTACGGAGGGAGATGAGGTTGGCCTTGAGTTCAGGAACGAGAAGAACGTCGTGCAGCACCACCGGCTTGCCATCCGCTCCCTTGAACGCAGCTCGTCCCGCACCAGCCACCTTCAGCGCGTGTCTAGAGGAGGAGCACACCTCATTGATCGGTGCAGCGCGTACGTCGTCCAGCAGGTCCTTGCGCGGCGTCATCGTCCAAGCAGCGCCCGTGTCCAACACCCAATAGTCCAGGGGGTGCAGCTCTGCTCCAACCTTGGCAAAGGCGTCTCCTTGCTCCCCCTTGTCTCCCACATGGAAGAATTGGCCCGCGGTGCGCTCCTTCTTCTCCGCACCACCGTTGCCCTTCGGGTTGTTGTCGGACGAATCAGCGACCATGTTGGCGCCGTTTTTCTGGTTCCTCCGCGCACCGCCATCCTGGTGACGATTCTGGGGGGTCCATCCATCGGGTTTCTTATAGCACAAAAACCAGGGGTGCCCCTCCTTCTCACAATACCAGCAACTCCCTTTCATTTTGCCACCAGCACCCGACTTGCCCCCACGTCCAGATTTCGCACCGCGACCCCAACCGATACCTCCTTGTTGGTCGTTGGAGTCGTCGTCTTTCTTTGCACCGCGTCCAGCACCACCGAAGCCACGTCCTCTGCCACGTCGGCTCCCTTGCATCCCATAGCCGCTGCTGCCGTCGTCTCCACTCTTCAGTTGGCGGCGACGAAAGTCCTCCTCCAGAATCTTTGTCCGCACCCACTCGAGTGTCCACGAGCTCTGGTTCTGCGGCAGGCTCAATCCGCTCGTGAATTGAAGCCACGATTCAGGCAGCAGCGAGAGCATCTTCAAGCGGCTCTCCCTCGCTCAGGCGCAACGCGGACAGCTCCCTCTCCAGCATCAACGTTGCGACAACGGAGGTCGGGGCGTGCAGCTCCTTCAACACGGTCCACGCCTTCGGACCGCATTCAACCTCCGGCAGCAGATGCATGACGTGGTGACGCTGGTTCTGCTCAAACTCTGCGACATCAGATAGTAGCCAGCCGAGGAGCGCTCGTCCCAATCTTCCTGAAGGGCGGGGTCACTTGGTCTAGGCTCCTCCCCAATCATTAGTTTCAGCAAACCGATCTGACGGAAATATAATTGCATTTTCCAGGCCCAATCATCATAGCCCTCACCATTGAACTTCTCGACGGTGAAATTCTTCAGCACCTCCTTGACAAGCGAGCCCTGGTTTGTTCGCGCTCCCCTTGGCGCTGAAAGACCAGAATCTTGGCTGCCGCTACGATCTTGGGCTGAAGATTCACCAGCTCCCGCCGAGGTGTTGCCCGCCATAGCTACCTATAACGAGGATCACTATAACGCAGCTCTGATACCAGCTTGTTGGTGTAAGGGCCTAATAAACTCAAGCTATTAGGACTTAATCAAACTTAAAACCTCTCCTCGGGGTCACCTCCAAGGGTCCCTGGGTGCCTGGTACAAGACCAGCCCCTATCCTCGGGTCCGAGTTTGTAGAGAGAGGGATCAAGAAGGACTTAGTCAAAACAGCAAGAGTACCTTGAACGTCGCGCAGCGTGCCGTGCAGACCGTCGATCGGATTAAGCTGAGAATTCGCTATATCGAAGCTCGCTCCAAGAGCTTTAAAATGAGCTAAGTTGCCTCGCAAAAAGTTCTGCCATTACTAAGTTATGGCTCGGACAGCGTTTGCCTAGCGTTGGAGTGCTAGCATACTAGCGTTGACTCGGGTAGCATTCCGCCATCGAATAGCGCAGAAACGAAATTCCAGCGAGGAAGGAATTCGCATGAATCAATTTGACTATATTCAGGTACAAACAGAAAAGGAATATATAGTTCTAGCTAGCAAGGACCTTGGGAATCAACCTGGGAACAACCAGGGATGATCCCAAATAATTCCAAGCAACAGAACCAACCTGGCTGGACAAAAAAGCAGGTGGTAGGTTGGTAAACAACCTCTGGTTCTGTTTTTCCAACCTGGGAAAACAACAACCAGGTTCAGGTTCTAAAAACAGAACCTGTTTTGTCTTTGCCCAACCAGCCAAATGCTGGTTCCGCTGGTTTCCCCTGGCCTTGTAGCATGCAGATACAGACAAACAACATCCAACCTTCACCTAAATTGTACCCCTATAGTGCCTGCCCTGCTACTATAGTCAACCAAACAATACAGTACAATTTCAAGTTGGATAGAACTGAATCTGCGCAATCAATTCAACCGAACTGCAAAGCTTCCATCTTGGGTTCCTTTGCGAGCTCGTCCTTTCTGCTTGCACTGTTCATAGCGCGTACAATGTTGTGCCGAAGCGCACATTGCGCGAGTACCTGCAAATGCATCAAGCGAAAAATGCGAAAGCAAACAAACACACGAACACACCATTCACACGCAAATGCATTTGCACACGCATACTCGTACAAACAGACGGCAGGATGTCGTGCAATGTGCATTTGCACCCAACATTTACCCCTCTTCCCGCTCGCGCCACGTTACTCTCACGCCTGCTTCACTCTCTAACACCAGCACGCCAGACTCCCTGACTTCCTGCCCATCGCTTATGCTAGAGTCCCACATCCGGTCCGTCCTTCCTTGGCCGACGAATGTACACTTCCTGCCCGTGCTCTAGTGCCATTTGTTGGGTACAAATTCACATTGCACGGCATTCTGCCGTCTGTTTGTACGAGTATGCGTGTGCGAATGCGTTTTTGTGTGAATGGTGTGTTTGTTTGGTTTCGCAATTGTCGCTTGATGCATTTGCAGGTACTTGCGCAATGTGCGCTTCGGCACAACATTATACGCGCTATGAACAGTGCAAGCAGAAAGTGACGAGCTCGCAAAGGAACCCAAGATGGAAGCTTTGCGGTTCGGTTGAATTGATTGCGCAGATTCAGTTCTATCCAACTCGAAATTGTACTGTTTTGTTTGGTTGACTATAGTGTACCAGGCAGGCACTATAGGGGTACAATTTAGGTGAAGGTTGGATGTTGTTTGTCTGTATCTGCATGCTACAGGGCCAGGGGAAACCAGCGGAACCAGCATTTGGCTGGTTGGGCAAAGACAAAACAGGTTCTGTTTTTAGAACTTGAACCTGGTTGTTGTTTTTCCAGGTTGGAAAAACAGAACCAGAGGTTGTTTACCAACCTACCACCTGCTATTTTGTCCAGCCAGGTTGGACGCTAGGCCCTTGTTATTGAATTTTTGCAGATGCTAGGCCCTTGTTCTTGAATTTTTGCAGACGCTAGGCCCTTGTTCTTGCAATTTTGCAGACGCTAGGCCCTTGTTCTTGAAATTTTGCAGACACTAGGCCCTTGTTCTTGGTATTTTGCAGACGCTAGGCCCTTGTTCTTGCAATTTTGGAGACGCTAGGCCCTCGTTCTTGCAATTTTGCAGACGCTAGGCCCTTGATCTTGAATTTTTGCAGACGCTAGGCCCTTGTTCTTGAATTTTTTCAGACACTAGGCCCTTGTTCTTGCAATTTTGCAGACGCTAGGCCCTTGTTCTTGAATTTTTGCAGATGCTAGGCCCTTGTTCTTGCAATTTTGCAGATGCTAGGCCCTTGTTCTTGAATTTTTGCAAATGCTAGGCCCTTGTTCTTGAATTTTTGCAGATGCTAGGCCCTTGTTCTTGAAGTTCTTGCACACGCTAGGCCCTTGTTCTTGCAATTTTGCACACGCTAGCCTGGTGGAGCAGACGCAGTACGAGGACGGGATGCGCTTCATGGAGGCGGCAGCGCTGTATCGCCGCCGAGTGGACGTCGCTCACCTGCGCCCGCGCCTGCCTGTGCGCTCCCACGCCGCCCTCTGGTGGCGCTTTGCCGCACGCGCCCTGCTGCAGCAGCATCACGCCCTCAGGTGTGCCTGACTGCTGCGTTTGGCTGCACGCCTGACTGCTGCGTTTTGCTGTCGCCTGCCATGTCCCATTGCGAGGTGCTGTCGGGTTTGGTGTTGCACACAACACAATGACCAGGGCGCCGTGCTGTGCGGCATGCAGGCCCACCATGACATGGAAGAGCATCAAGGACAGTTGCAACATGCGGCGCCGCTATGTGGCGGCATACACTCACGCGCTGCTGGACGCGTGGGCGTCGGGCGGCCCTGTGAAGCCGGGTGTGGCGGCGGACAGCGCTGAGATGCGTTCCATTGAGGCGCACGTCAGCGTGGAGGTCGCCCTGCTATGGCGGTGAGCTCTCAGTAGGGGGGGAGGGATGGAGTGAGTCGCTAGGGCAGAATAACCGAGGGAGATCAAGTGGCAGAGGATGGCTGGTGTGTCAGGCCTGTGCGCACCCCGCATGTCATATTCTGACTGCTGCCCTGTCACCTGCCTCTTCCCTGTCCCTCACTTGCCGTTCTTCTCTCTGCCCCCTGTGCCTCTGCGCCCCCCCATGCCCCACATGCGGCACAGCATGCTGGCACACTCGCAGGCGGAGCGCAGCCGACCCAAGGCACAGCGGCAGGCAGTGCAGCCCAAGGCCAAGGGGTGGTTCGCCTCCTGGTGAGACGGGGTGGTCCGCGGGATACCATGACCCACGAGGCACATGCACGGATTCTACGAGTGCTGGGGCACTGTGGCTTGCTGCCATTCCTTGCTGCTGCCTTCTTGCTGCCTGCTGCCTGCTTCCCTAAACCCTGTCCGTGGCCCGATCCACACCTCATCCTTGCTGTCTGTGTGCCAACCCAACCTACCCCTCATCCCCCTTCCCCATCTTGCTGCGCGTGCTGGGTGCCTGGCAGGCGAGGGGCGTCTGTGCCAGCAGAAGCAGGGGGGGGCGAGGGGACGGAGGAGGAGGGGGTGGGGGGAGGGTTGAGTGCGGAGGAGTGGGAGAAGATAGAGGAGCTGGTGCGCGCGGGGGAGGAGGCGCAGTATGAGCCGGGGCAGGCACACGCGGGGGCGGTGCAGATGCTGGTGCAGGTGGCCATGGAGTGCTTCCGCGCTCGCCTCGTGGACGGGGGGGCGGGCGTGGATGGGGGGCCGGGCGTGGACGTGGTGTGTGGGTCGTGTCACCACCTGCACGTGGCGCTGCGCCTCTTCCCCCTCATGCTCAAGGCTGACGTCAGCCTGCGCCTCTATGACCTCTCCGTGCCTGAAGGCACGCTCATTGAGGTGAGAGGGTGTGCTGAGAGGAGGTTTGGTGAGAGGGCGAGGTGCATGTTCATTGCTTGTCATTGGAGTGTTTTGCCCTGCATGGGGGTGTCTCTCACATTTACTGCTGCCATCATGCATACATATTGCTGTTTTGCACCACGTTCTATGCACTCAGGAACTTGTCCCTGCCATGACCTGGGGTGGGTGTGTGTGTGTGTGTGTGTATGTGTGTGTGTGTGTGTGTGTGTGTGTGTGTGTGTGCGTGCGCGCGCCCTCGTGCATGAGAGCACTTGGAATTATTTGGGATCATCCCTGGTTGTTCCCATGTTGATTCCCAAGGTCCTTGCTAGCTATAACTATATATTCCTTCTCTGTTTGTACCTGAATATAGTAAATTGATTCAAGCGAATTCCTTCCTTGCTGGAGTTTCGTTTCTGCGCTATTCGACGGCGGAATGCTACCCGAGTCAACGCTAGTATGCTAGCACTCCAACGCTAGGCAAACGCTGTCCGAGCCAGAACTTAGTAATGGCAGAACTTTTCGCGAGGCAACTTGGCTTATTTTAAAGCTCTTGGAGCGAGCTTTGTTATAGCGACTTCTCAGCTTAATCCGATCGATGAGCTGCACGGCACGCTGCGCGACGTTCAAGGTATTCTTCTTGTTATTTTGGCTAAGTCATTCTTAACTCCTCTCTCTACAAACTCGGACCCGAGGATAGGGGCTGGTCTTGTACCAGGCACCCAGGGACCCTTGGAGGTGACCCCGAGGAGAGGTTTTAAGTTTGATTAAGTCTTAATAGCCTGAGTTTATTAGGCCCTTACACCAACAAGCGGCGGCAGGGCAGGGCAGGGCACGCACGACAGCAGGGCAGGGCAGTGCGCGGCGGGCAGGGCAGCACGTGGCGGCATGGTAGCGCGCGCAGTACTAAGTAGGACAGTTGTAGGAACGGCAACGTACGGACCTAACCTACTCGATGATACTGCTAGTGCGACGTACAGGGCACTGCGACTCGTCCTACACCGACTATGAGAAGACTAGCAGGTCGTCTCAGGGGTACTGTTTCAGCTTGGGCTCTGGAGATGTGTCGTGGAGGTCAACTCTGTCGTCATCTGTGGCACAATCAAGTGCAGAGGTCGAGATCTACGACGGTGCCATAGCTGCTCAGTAGCTCTGCTCGTTGACGTTCTTGCTCACTGTCCTGAGTGAGCGGCCTGCATCGACCTTATTCGCTGACAACAAGGCCAGATCCTCCTGTGTCAAGAGCCTCGACTGGAGAGCAGAGTGAAGCACATTGATATATGGTACTTCTTGCTGCGAGAGCTGTAGCGGCACGGCCAGGCACCTTGGTCTTTGTGGCCTTAGTGGCCAACATATCGGACATGTTCCACAAGGCCCTCCCACATAGTGACCACCACAGGTTTTGCTTGTCAAACCATTATATGCTTGTAGGCTCTAGTGGGGCACTCTCCAAGGGGCATGACACTTTTAGTGTTTGTACTTGTACCCCATCCTTGCTAGTAAACTTCATTCCGCTTGATTTCAACATGGTGTCATCGAGTAGGTTAGGTCCGTTCGCTGCCGTCCCTACTACTCCCACTACGAGCTACTGTCGCGTGCTGCCGTGCCACGCCTCGTATCGTGCCCTGCTGTGCTGCACTGCCCTATCGCTTCTCGCGCTGCCCTGCCGCCGCGCACGCTGCCCTGCTGCCGCGTATGCTGCCCTGCTGTCGCGCGTTGCCCTGCCGTCACGCGCGCTGCCCTGCCGTCGCGCGTTGCCCTGCCGTCGCGCGCGCTGCCCTGCCGCCGCGCGCGCTGCCCTGCCATCGCGCGCACTGCCCTACCACCGCACGCACTGCCCTGCCGTCGTGCGTGCTGCCCTGCTGTCGCATGCGCTGCCCTGCCGCCCGCGCACTACCCGCTGGCCGGCCCGCTGCAGCCAGCGCGCCAGCCACTGCCGCCCGCGCACAGTCTTCTGCTCTCATGCAGCCCACGCGCTGCCTGCACGCCACCTTCTGCAGCACGTGCACTACTCACTTGCTGCCCCCTGCGCGTGACTCAGTGCCATCAGTTGCCACCCGCTACTGAGCCGTTTTGTCTACTGCCGCTCCACGCCGTGCTGCCAGGCTCTCGCGCTGCAACCTGCCTTAATAGCTGCCATGGCGACAATTACTGTACTTTCGTTTGACGTGGAGCTGCCCAAAGAGGACTTGCTCCTGTGCCTCCATAGTCTCACCAAAGACGATGTCTCACTGTTTGAGTACACGTTGGGGTCCCTTTAGGCCCCAACCACTCCGGATGCACCTGCCGCTACTGCTCCCATGGATGTGCAACAGCACTAAAGGGCTGACCGCGTTGCTTGCACACGCTGGTTGGTACATGACGATACAGCCAAGCCTGCAGCCCGTGCTCACCTCCCGCCCGACCGGTGGTCCCACTTTCACTAGATGAAAACGACCAAAGCGCTCTATGACGCTATAGTTAAGCGCTACTTATGTTGGGTGCAAATTCATATTGCACGACATCCTGCCGTCTGTTTGTACGAGTATGTGTGTGCGAATGCATTTGGGTGTGAATGGAATGTTCGTGTGTTTGTTTGCTTTCGCAATTTTCGCTTGATGCATTTGCAGGCACTCGCGCAATGTGCACTTCGGCACAACATTGTACACGCTATGAACAGTGCAAGCAGAAAGGACGAGCTCGCAAAGGAATCCAAGATGGAAGCTTTGCGGTTCGGTTGAGTTGATTGCGCAGATTCAGTTCTATCCAACTCGAAATTGTACTGTTTTGTTTGATTGACTATAGTGTAGCAGGGCAGGCACTATAGGGGTACAATTTAGGTGAAGGTTGGATGTTGTTTGTCTATATCTGCATGCTACAGGGCCAAGGGAAACCAGCGGAACCAGCATTTGGCTGGTTGGGCAAAGACAAAACAGGTTCTGTTTTTAGAACCTGAACCTGGTTGTTGTTTTCCCAGGTTGGAAAAACAGAACCAGAGGTTGTTTACCAACCTACCACCTGCCATTTTGTCCAGCCAGGTTGGTTCTGTTGCTTGGAATTATTTGGGATCATCCCTGGTTGTTCCCAGGTTGATTCCTAAGGTCCTTGCTAGCTAGAACTATTTATTCCTTCTCTGTTTGTACCTGAATATAGTCAATTGATTCAAGCGAATTCCTTCCTCGCTGGAGTTTCGTTTCTGCGCTATTCGACGGCGGAATGTTATCCGAGTCAACGCTAGTATGCTAGCACTCCCACGCTAGGCAAACGCTGTCCGAGCCATAAATTCGTAATGGCAGAACTTTTCGTGAGGCAACTTGGCTTATTTTAAAGCTCTTGGAGCGAGCTTTGATATAGCAAATTCTCAGCTTTATCCGATCGACGGTCTGCACGGCACGCTGCGCGACGTTCAAGGTACTCTCGTTATTTTGGCTAAGTCACTCTTAACTCCTCTCTCTACAAACTGGGAGCCGAGGATAGGGGCTGGTCTTGTACCAGGCACCCAGGGACCCTTGGAGGTGACCCCGAGGAGAGGTTTTAAGTTTGATTAAGTCTTAATAGCTTGAGTTTATTAGGCCCTTACACCAACAACTTACCCCCCTCCTCTGCCACCCTAGGCCGTTTTGCGCTGCCGTTTCTCTTCCCCGAGCTGTCTGACTTCACCACTGTAGCTGACCTCATGACTCACCTGCGCCCCCTTGAAACGCGCTACCGTGCTGCTTTCAAGCCAGAGTTCCTGACTAAGAACCAGCCCCTCATGTATCTCACTAACTACTTCCTCACGACTCGCCTCCCGAACTCTCGTCGCGGCGTTCAAAACCACTTCCTCTCCATAGACCTTACTGAGCTCACCCTTACCTCGTTTGACATCCGTCTCCTTGAGGCCGAGACCAGTGCCCCCGTTGTAGCTACCTCCCATGGCTCTCCCAGCCCCACTTTCTTTGAGGGGTGCTCCCCTTCCCTTCTCGCGCATTCTGTTGCCTCTGTTGCTGCTGTTAACTTCCTTGGTGCTGAGGAGGTCGGTGCTGCGCCTACTTCTAGCGGAAGGCGCCGCGGCAGCGCTGGGCGTACTAGGGGTGGGGGCGGTGGGGGTGTTGGAGGTGGCGGTAGCGGTGGCGGTGGCGAGGGTGGTGTCAAACTATAATTATATATTTCGGTTAGTTCTAGTCTATGTGTTATGCATTGTGCTACATTGCTCATAGCACTAGGGTTAGGGTTTGCTATATTTTGCTTGTTTCTTGTTTCCTTAGTCATTCTTTCTCAACCCTAGTAAGTTACCACGTTCACATGGTATAGAGCCTAGGAATCGATCCGATGGGCCCACCGCCCCGTACCCCGCCCTAGCTAGAAGCGCCCCGTCGCCCGTAGCCCCGTTGGCCGAAGCGCCCCGTCGCTCCGTAGCCCCGTTGGCCGAAGCGCCCCGCTTCTAGCCGTTTTCCACCGCATTAGACCGCACCAAACCGTATCTAACTGCTCCCCAACGCAACCGAACACTCTAGACCGCACCCAACCGCACCTGACCGCTCTCCCCCCCCCCCCCCCCCCACCACGCTGGGCCGTCTCTAGTGCCTACCACTAGAGTTCTTCAGCAGCAGGGCCAACCGCAGCAACAGCAACCGCAACACTCCCAGCAGTGGGGACGTCGTTGGCCAGCAGTAGGCACGTCGTTGGCCTCTGCGGGTTCCGGACGCTGACTAGCCCTGGTGCTGGCATCACCTACTGGCGTCCTAACCACTCCGCGTTCCACTGCTACCGTCGCATTGATGACCTCCACTGTGAGCATTTTGGACCTGATGCTTTCTCACCGCACTGGCCTTCTCGTCTTCGCCATAGTACTACTGGACCTGTTGAGTCGCACCCGCCCAGTCTAGGACCTTTGCCAGTTGTACGAGTAGGGACTTTTGTTTCCAGTCTTGGTGCTTGTGTAGTTCCTAGCCTAGGTGCCTCTCTAAGGGTCCTTGTATGGGAGCTGCAGCTACCGCTAGCCTAGTATTAGCCTTTGTCGCCAGCGCGGGTACGACTTCAGCGACTGCGCCTCTTTCGTTCACCCTTGACTCTGGGGGTGTCCAGCTTTTTCTTCCATGACTGCACCGTTCTAATGCCGCTGAGCACTCCTATCGCTGTCGCCTTGGCTGACCCCTCAGTGGGACCTGTTGTTGCCCACAGTACCACCACTCTACGGTGTCCAGCGGCCCCCTGTGGGGTCCTTACAGGTACCCCCTTGTTCTCCAGAAACTTGGTGGGAGTCACCTCCATGGCCTCGGTGTCTTTCCCACAGACGAGCCTGTTGCCACCTGCACATACGGTGCCACTGGGGCGCCTCTTGCTACTTTTCATAGAGAGCCAGGCTCCGAGCTGTACTCGCTACACACTGGGTCCCACCACATTGGGTCAGGTCAGGTAGGTAGCTGCTGCGTCGTGGGATTGTCGGTCACTCACCCACCCGTCGGTCCTCTGGCACCACCGGCTAGGTTACCCGTCCTTCCCACGTCTCAGTAGGATGGTACGTCACCGTCGGGTCTCAGGTCTCCCCAAGTCCCTTGCCCTGTGCACTCCTTGTGTTAAGGGGCGGCAGCGTGCTGCCCCTCACTCCTCCACGTTCCCCCCCACCATGGCTCCCTTACAGATGCTTCATTTGGACTTCTGGGGCCCCTCCCTGGTCCTTGGCCCACTTTAGGAGCGCTACTTCTTGATTGTAGCGGACGAGTACTCCCGCTACACCACGGTGTTTCCCCTGTGACGGAAGGCCGACGTGCCTACAGTCCTTGAGCCGTGGCTACTAGCGAGGGATGGCGCCCAGGGCCTACGTGGACTCTGTCTACACTCGAACCATGGTGGTGAGTTTGCTTCCACTCGCCTGGAGGCGTTCTGCCAGGGTCAGGGGATCATCCAGTTTTACACGTTACCAGACTCGCTGCAGCAGAACGGGGTCGCTGAGCGACGCATCGGCCTGGCCATGGACGTTGCCCGGACCTCCATGTGCCATGCAGGTGCCTCCAAGTTTCTTGTGGCCTTGCGAGAGTAGAGGAGGAGTTGCACTCGCAGTAGCAGATTCAGTTGCAGCCACAGCAGGAGAAGGAGTAGAGGAGGTGCCACGGCCGCAGCAGCAGGTGCAGTTGCTGCTGTAGCAGGAGAGGGTAGAGGAGGAGACACACCAGTAGCAGCAGTTGTAGCCACAGCAGGAGAGGGTAGAGGAGGAGCCACGGCCGCAGCAGCAGGGTCCGTTGCAGCCACATCAGGAGAGGGTAGAGGAGGAGACACACCCGCAGCAGTAGAGTCAGTTGCAGCCACAGAAGGGGAGGGTAGAGGAGGAGCCACGGCCGCAGCAGCAGGGTCTACTGCAGCTACAGCAGGAGAGGGTAGATGAGGGGCCACACCTGCATCGGCAGGTGCAGTTGTAGCTGCAACAAGAGAGGGTAGCGGAGGAGTTCACAGCTGGTGCAGCAGGGGCAGCTGCAGGAGCAGGTGCCGTCCCAGCAGACGTTAGAGGAGGCAGAGCAGCAGCAACTGCGAGACCTGCCTGACCCGGCACCTGCACGCTTGGTCCGTGGTCCCCTACCGTCTTCTCCCGTTCCCCTATCCAGTCCCTTTCCTCGTCCCTGTGGTCTTGTCGTGCCCCACTCAGTCGTACTGCGTCTTCAGAGCGTCGTCGGTCTCGTTACCGTGCCGACGGCTTGTTTCACCTTGTTCTCCGTTCTAGTGTTCCACCTACCCCGGTCCTTCCGCAGCCTCCCGAATCATCTGTTACTGTGTCTCCCGACCCGTTGTCCGACTACCTCCGTGCTTCACATCCTGTCGTCTCCCATATTTTGTCCTCGTTGGTCACTCACTCGACTCCCCCCCAGGTGTCTGTCTCGGCTCTTGTTGGTACTGTCACTGACTTTGCCTCTTCTCTTTGCCTTGATTACGCCACTCACCTGGTGAGCGGCCCTGCTCGTTCTCCGTCATCTGGGGGTGCTCCTGTCTCCCCCCTAGATGTTCTGGAGGACAGGCAGTTCGGGCTTGGTTTCCTTCCGGTCGTTGTTCCTTATCTCTACGCCATGTTGCTCAAATCCGAGGGGGATCCAAATGCCCTTGACATCCCGATCGTTCGTACTCACGCCGAGGCGGTCTCGGGACTATGGGCCTCGTACTGGATAGCAGCCGAGGAGGCATAGATAGTATCTTACAGGTCTGCTGGCACCTACGTCGTCGCCGTCACACCACCTGGGGCGAAAGTCGTCAGTGGCATGTGGCTCTACAAGGTGAAGCGGCCACCTAGAGTACCACCGGTGTTCAAGACGCG